TTATCTTAATGTCAATAAAAAAAAATTAATACCATTGTTAGTAGAAAAGAGCCAAAATAATAATAATAAAATGTTGTATTGTATTTTAATTAGCAAGACAATAAACAATGCCAGCACAGCATCTAAAAAATTAACTGATTTTACAAGAGCCAAGTACACGAGCACCGACTGAAGTAAAATGCATGCYTGRGGCTAATATTCTTAAGTCTGTTGAAAGCTGGTCGGTTTTTGTGCATTCGACAGAGTATATAGCGGAAGAAAAAAATATGCTTTCAGAACTATCACAAGACTTCCAGGATTTGAATTCTRAAAAAAAAATWTTTTATCTTCTTGTCCGTGTCTTATAGGAAATAAATAGTAAATTCAAGGGAATTAAAAAAATAAATAATATTTGACACTTTACTRATAAAACAAACAATAATAAATCGAAAATACATTTACTACCTAACCTAGAAAAAAAAATAAAGAATTAAAATATGTTTTCAAAATTAGAATCGGGCTTTTGATATTGTATGCATTTTTCATGCGTTTTTTGGGACTTTCACGTTGAAACTTTTTTGATCGCAAAAATTCACAATTAACGCAGATTTCCAAGAATTTTGACCGTAGTTTATCTTTCATCGCATAACACATTCGGAGCACTGAAGCACACTAATGATCAGTCWCTATAGACACGTAATCACACATCACTCACAACGGACATAGAATATTGCCTAAGTCCAACCCCTTAAAAATGGTCAGCTTTCAACAGTCTTAATGTATTTTATCATATATTTTATTATGTTTTAACTTTACAACTAATTTGACAAATATGATCGTTCTTGCCTATATTTATATGAGTTTTACGATTCAACATTTTGTCATTTAAGGACAAACAATGATTTAAATGTGGCGTAACATAATATTATTATCGAAACGATTAAAACGTTAATGGTCCGTGTTGTCTTCCAACAATGGTAAAAATGTATAACTTTTGAGAGAGCTGAACTTGTCAGAMATGCGTTTAATTGTAATGATATACTCACAGACGCGTTGGCCGCAAAAAGGGCCAAAACAATTGTCACGGCGATTACGGAATAACTCTTCATTTTCACGGAAGTAGAATTTAACACGACGTTAATATCTATGTATTTTTAATTTTTTTTTTTAATGCAATGATTTCTGAAAGCGACTAAAACTCCTGGGCGATTTTGTAATTTATACTCAAAGTGCGCCCCTGTTACGCGACGAAAATTTAAAAAAAATGATTATTTTAATGAGTGGTTATTACAATGATAACAAAAGTATGTAAAGACAAAAATTACCTTTTAAAAATGTTTATATGGCAAAAAAAAACCCAGCATAATTATTATAATTGAGAGGTGGCAAGTGGCGTGTTTATTATTTTTTTTTCCGACAAAGTACGGAAAAATTTCGACGGTTATTTTAGAGTTTTAGACCCACACAATATATATTGTTATGTTATAATGTATTTTTTTACTGGTTATTTTTTTTTACRTTTAACTTTTTTTTTTACCACATATATATACACATAATATATGATATCGAATAATATTAACCGCAACAATTATATGAACGAGGCGTTAAACCACACATCGCTCGCGACACCTGTCAAATTTCGATCGTCATAAAGTTAATAATAATAATAATAATAATTGTAATAATTGTAAGTACTGCGATTGCTATAGTCGGTCGATACGTGTGTACATAGCGTCAACACACACAGCCCACGCGTACGACAGAGACGGGTGGGTAAATCGAGTTGTGTTTATTTTTCTTGCGCCTGCACGCCAACAGGTTGTACTATGTACCTTAATAGTATTATTAATATGTCAACCGACAGTCGTACACGGCCCCGCAGAATCGTCGAACGGAAACGGAAAGAAAAAATTCTCTCACTCTCTTTCACTCTGTCTCTCTTCGSGTCCGTCTCGTCCGCGCATCGTCTCGCCGCCACCTCGACCACCAGGACAATAATATTATAATCAGACCTACGATCTACACTCAATACGATTATTCTATTTTTTAAATAGAGTGTATGATAGGTACACTCGCAATAAAATATCGCCGCGACAACGATTCGATCGGTCGGTCTCGAGCTTGAGTAATACAACTATATCAATACCTATATAGGTACACATGAAATAATTGTTTTTTTTTTTTTTTATATAATTCGTACAGGTACCACACACACTCACGCGCGCGCGAACGACATCGCGAAACTTCCACGATATATCATCGTAATCGTCATTGTTTTTGTGTCATTGACAAAACAAAACGGTACCCGCGGCCTGTCACATCTGTTCGGTGGCTTGTGACGAACACAAAAGATCCGATCCAACAAAACAACGTAAACGCAGACGCACATGCCATATCCGAGACGACCCCAAAGCTCTATATAACAACGATATCGATTACGTATCGTCGACAATTATTACACTCCGCGGCGTCACGATAATAATATATTGATAACATTTTTTTTTTTCATTCCATTTCCGTCCGATCAGCGTCCCCGTCATCATCATCACCACCGACGACGATGGCCGTCGACGGGAAAAACACTTCCGGCCGGCTCGTCGCCGCGACCGTCCTCTGGCTGCTCGTCGCGATCTTCGCAAACCAGGTCGGTATTCAATAATAATAATAATAATAATAATAATGGGCACCACTATTGAGCCGGATTCACTGCAGCTACGTCGTGCGAGGTCATGGTAACTATTATKTATGGTTTAACGGTTACGACTGGTACCTAACTAAATTGAATTAATTCGGTAACAACCATATGTACCTATACCTATATACAACCAGCAAAGCCGTAGCAGGAACAAATTTTCGATTCGAACCCTCAAAACCCTCTCTCATATACGGCCTTGACAACCAGATTATTATAGGCTGAAAAATTCAGCTTATATTCTCGGTACCCTCGCGGTTACAACTTGGTTATCATCKTAGAACTAGAATTTATTTTAAGCGATACGAAAAATATCAAATTGTAGAATAACATGTATTTTGAAAAATAATAAATGCCTATGCGGAAATATGTGAAAAAAATTTTTTTTTTTAAATTTCTACACATACAATTTTATACTTTCAGTAACTACTTGAAACGGAAACTATATAGGTACCTAATTATTTATTGCAAGTAGTTTTAATTATTACACTGATTATTGTTTTAATGTTTWTATAATATTTTATGTTATTTCAAATTTTGAAACACGATTGAACATTTGGAACGAGGAATGGATTTGTATATTGACCAAAACTGGTCGTATTAATGAAAAACAAAAATAATGTATAATATGTAATACTATCGGCAGTCTGACTAAGATAAGATTATAAAGACATACTGAATTTAAGATAGATAACTCAATATAATATTATAGGTTTAATTAAATAAAAATACTATTTGGAATAATTCATATGATTTTCAAAAAAAAAAAAAAAAAAAAAAAAAAAATTATTATATTATGCATTATKTTMAAAATATGCAAAAAAAAAACAGTTTTATCCAAATTATGGACTTGTATCTGATAACCAATCAAATTTGGACTCGAGGAAATGTAAATGCATAGAAATCCTAGCCCTAGTTATTACACGATACCAAAACATTAATGTCCAATCACAATGCGATTTGATCGACACGACAAGACGCACAAGTAGCTGTGAATGCGCTTTTACATTCACGCGCGCCCGATAGTGAACAACAATAATATATCTTTTTGTAATTGTTTATTTGTTATTATTACTGCTCATGTTTTTGTAACCATTGTTGTCGTTGTTGTTGGATTTCCAACGCGGCCGCCTAATGCTCCTACAGTGGGCACGTCTCATTTATGCACAAGGAACCATTAAATACATCATATAATATGATGGGCCCCTTATAGATAATACAATACTCTTGACAACTATATATTTGAGTATTCGACCTCGTGACGAAGAGAATTGTTGAATTCAAACATCCATGAAAACATAACTTCGCGATGGATAATAGAATATTATCCAATAGAACTTACTCACAAAAAAAAAAAAAATTAGTAAAATAGTGTAGAATAATACTTGACCAAAGTTGAATGTTAGCGATAGTTAAAAATTAAAAAAGTTATAACATTATAATTAACTAAGTTAAGTAACTAGTTAAATTTTTTATTACTACTAGCTTTTAAATTCATTATAATTAACGTTAGTAACATATATCACATATAGTATATAGGTACATGTAACGTGTTAACTCCGAATTACTATAGTTTTGGTACCATACAAAGAATGAACTATTAAAATTAATTTACAGTTATATACAAACCATTTCATTTAGAATTTTATAGTTTGAGAAATATACTTTGTATATTTTGATGTTGCTTTCACATTACTTGCCTACTTAGGACAAATATTTGATACGCAAATTGAAATACAGAATCATAAAAATGTCTGAATTAAAAAAAAATATCCAATCTCAACTTTTTAATATACCTAAGCGTCCTAAGCTAATTGTCTTATTGGCTATAATTTATAACCATGATACCTATAGTTTATTATTTAGTCAAGTTTATCTTCGCTTACATAATTGATTTATCCTTTAATTTTTTAACTTAAGATAGTTATAAAGCTACATTAATTAACTTTTAACTCAACTTATAATTTACATTTCCTTAAATTATAACTTAACCTGACAAATTAAGACTTTTGAAAGCAGGTAATTTTTAACGTTCACGTTCGTGAAGTTGGCCCAGATAAGTACTCCAATTTTTTCGAAATCCATGCCATTATTTTGCAAGTTATTTGCAAGTATTTGCAAGTCTATTTTTAGAATTTGCAAGTCCATACTTTTACCGTGAAATAAAAATATTAAAAGTTGGTGCATTTGGTTAAATAAGTAGAGGAAAAAATATATTTCCAAAAGTTCAATAAAAATGTTTTTTTTTTAAAATTAATTTGCTTTCTATTGGTCTCTATTTCGTACGTACCTAATTAATTTTTTTTAGTAATACCTAGTAAAGAAAGTGAATTAAAAAAAAAAAAAAAAATTAATTTGGTAGAATACTAACCAAACAGTACCACAAATCGACAATCCACTTCATAATCTTGAAAAGGGAATAATGAATTAATAAAGTATATATTCTAAATTAAAATTAGGCTTTTGGCATTGGCTGAATTATTATTTTGGGGACTATCGTGTTGAAATTTTTTTATAGCAAAAGATAGCGTGACTGCATGCGTTAGAGATTTCCAAGAACTTTGGCCATGATTTATCTTTAATAATTACAAACACACACTAATAATCAATCACTATAGACACACACGAGTCACGATGGACATAGGATTTTGCCTAGATCTAACCATTTAAAAATGATTAGCTTTAAAAACTCTAAAATTATTACATCTTACACAAAATGCGAGCCATTACCTTCATTATTTTCGAAGAGACCATAATACTATCGAATATATATATATATATATATTGCCACGATTCGTATAATAATTAGGGTTTCCAACCGGCCGATATTTTCCCGGCCCAGCCGGTATTTCACATCTATAGACTTAAAAAGCCGGTTGCCGGTGTTTTCAAAATAATAATTGTAAAATTTTATAAAAAGCCAGTATTTCCATTTTCCATCTGATCGAGAGTTGTTATATACATATATTAATATTATATCGTTTTTGTAAAATTGGTTATGATATTGCTGCCAATAAATCGTACCTATATAATCTTAATGACTTTAGATGACTATCCACATAACTTTGACACTTTTTTAAGTAGTATGTACCTTGTGCCTACTATGCCGTTGACGACTTGTCGTATGTGAATATGTGATTGTCGATAGAAAATCAATTTATTAATTATACTTATATTAAATAAAAATTTACATTTACTGAAATTATTGTAAGCGTTCTATATTATATAGTTTTACGTGTACCTAATGTCTTATGTATATGTAATCTACATGCATACTCATCCCACATTTAAAATTGAATAATATTCAAATGTGTACGTTAAATGAGACGCTTTTTAACCGCCATCGGAGGTATGGGGATTGAGTCCACCCTGTAAACCCACAATTTAACTACTGTTAACGATCATATAAATATGATATATCTCGCGTATTGCTCATTATCGTTGAATTTGATTCGTTTTTAGCAGCGTCGCCATTCTCGCTTACCGGAAAATTTTTTTAAATTTTAAAAGTCTGATATAGTCATATTATATAATTTCTTATATCTATAATATTTTGTTCTCTGCAGTACATCAGATTTATTTTAGTGTTCTATAATAAATATTTCACTAACTATTGAAAATTTCAAAATCCTGCAAATGCGATACTGTTTAGTGTTTACTCCAAATTTGACGGTGTAGGTGATCTAGTGTATTCATATACATATAACCATCCCGTGTAAAAAATTAATGTGCTGATGATTAACACAAGGGAAATACAATACATCTTCTTGTGGCTCCTTGAAGTTTTATATCGCACACTCGGTGGCATTCAATTTTTTTGTTTTGTCAACAAATTATTTAAATACACGTTTTAAAATTTAGATTTATCTGCACAAAACAAACGCTTAGACCAGCGAACCATAGGCATATCTACTGTTATTGCTGCGTCTGGTTGCTATTATACTTATTAATACTTGGTTATATGCACCTATTTTGTTAAAATATCGTCGGCAATTTTTTACTTCAAAAGTATGAGCCTAATACATTAATAACACAACCTAACCTTGTCGAGGAATAGACAGGCGCCTCATATACATATATCTACTAACGATGTCTGTGGTGGTCTGCTGCTCTTATAAAGCACTGTTCTATTTTTAAATTATTTTGAATATTTTTCTGGAAAAATTTCACGCTACACTCGTTTCTGGCCACGACTATTGTGAAAAAACTTCGTAACATTATGACAATCATTATTCATTTTATTTATAATAAGTACCCACATGGTACATAATACCTAATTATTACCTCATAATAGAAATGCTAAAATTGATATTTATTGACATAATATTTACTTTACATTATTCATTTGATGTGTTTTCTTACATAACTGCCATATTTAATAGGTAATGTTTAATATTAAAAAGAGAAAAAAAATTTAAAAATTTAGTTAGATATAAGGACCAAAGTATATCATATTATTTATTTATAATTCAAATGGAAAATGCCCAATTTACAATATATTAATAATTATAACAGTAATAACATATAAAATACTTTTTAGGGATAGACTTTTAATAAACTCACCTTTTAACAATTCACAAATTCATAAAAAAATAAGAATAAAAGAATAGCTCAAATAATTTAATAATAACCATATAGATATAATATCAACTTAAGAAGATGGAGTAAAATAAGAAATAATATAATACAAAAATAAATGATATATTAAACAAAATAAAAATAACAACTTGTGTAATGTAAATATTAGTCGTATATTAATGTCTTTTTGGTATATTATTATATGCTTTGATTTAACTGATTTAAGTGTGAATAATTGTCTAATTATGGCCCATTATCGTTCAAAGTCTTTGCATGATTTACGTTTCGAGTGGGTACTAAAATATGTTGTTCGACGTTAAGTCATGCATAAATACACTAAATCCCGTTAACCATGAAAGATATCAAATCTAAAAAATAACATAATATAAATAAAATAAAAAATTCTGCCACGTAGATTTAAAAGAAATACAACTCATTTCAATTCCATTCATGTTTATGAAACACACCATATTTTTAATTTTATTATTATTTAGGTACCCACATCATCGATTTTAAATGTTTTAATTTGCGCATTGTCTTATTGACATAATCATTAGTGTTATCTTTTAGGATTATGTAAACTGTGCCGGAGAAGAATATGAGCAGCAACAACAACAACAACAGCAACAACAACGACAACAACAACCACAACGACAACCACAACCACAACCACAACCACAGCCACAACCACAACCACAACTACAACCACAACCACTACCAAACCAAAAGTCGACACATGTTTGTTATCTGCAATTTCATGTTGTTCAATAATTTGTTTAAAGATATCTGTGTGTTCAGGACACTGTATGGTTTACAAAATGAAAAACTCGACGAGAAAAGACAGATGTTTTCAAAAA